TTGTTGTTGTTAGTAGTTCTGCCCCATAGCATGTCAATACAGTTCATGGGGTTTTCTTGGCAAAGATGCTGGAGTGGTTTGCAATTTCCTTCTCCAGTGGATTAAAGCAAATAGAGGTTAAGTGACTTGCCCAAGGTCACATAGCTAGTAAGTGTCTGAGGCTAGATTTTAATTCAGGTCATTCTGACTCCATGCTCAGTGCTCTATCCATTCAGCCACCTGGCTGCCTCCTAGATTAGTACTTTACTTAAATGGAAGCTTTGTAGCTTTCAAATTTTAAGAGAGTTAACAGAATATGTGCCACCATAAATGGATAACAAAACATAAAAATTATTGCTTCTTATCTGTTCTATATTTAATTATCAGCAGAACAATAATGTCACTGTGCTGGTAATCTATGAAAGAGAAATCAGAGAGAAGGGCTAGTCCACAGTGTGAAACCTCTTACTCCCTGCTAGATCTACTATTATCTTACTGGAAGGCTGAGCCAGATGATCTCATTATATCTTTAGTTCTTCGTATAGAATAATGACAGCTGAGAGTCAGAAGACCCAGACACTTCTGGCCCCATTCATAGCATGTAATTTGAAGGGTACCAAAAAGCCCATGCCTGAAATTATCTCTGTCTCCCCAGGTGGCTGAAATTTACACCATAAAAATCACTCCTTAAGGCACTGTGTGCAGGAAGTACTCCTCAAGTGCAAATATGCAATCTGACTAATATTGACTGGTAGCACGTAGTTTACAGCTGATTATCAGTTTCCTCTTCCAATTTTAAGGCTCCTTCTTGAAATTTGAGCTCCAAGAAGACTTGACTGTGTCTGTACTTTTTTTGTATCCCCCTCAGTACTTAACACAGTCCTGATTATATATTAAAAGTTCAGTAAATAGCTGTTAATTCATCAAAGCTGAAAAAAGCAAAATGGAATTTTACTCTTTCTTCTTTCACAAGATCTGTGAAACATCTGGATGAATACTCTTCTATCCATACAGATCTCAACTCAAAATTCCAAAGACTCCAAGATTTACTAAAGAGTTTTCATGAATTGCTGTGGGTGAAACAGTATCTATGGAAGCCAGTGCTCTGGGAATGCACCTCTCCTACCCTTACTAAGGCTGATTCCTAGAAGCAGTCTCTAGGCAGGCTGGTCAAAGCCTTCCTAGCTTGGTTGGACTTTCTGGAGTTTGTGTGGATATTGGCATAGCAAGAAGAGCTGAGTTACCTCCATGCCAAAATGATATATTAAAGAAGGGTTGTTAGTGGCTTATTTTGGGGAGAGAAGGAAAGCTGCACACAAAATTTTAAAATATTTTCAATGGTGAATTTAATTTTTTAAATTTTCATTAACTTGAATCACTTCATTCGTGATGCTGTTAATAACTGGGATTGAATCCAGAAAACCCTGAAATCCTCCTACCTGAAGCAAAACTGTAGTTAGGGACTATTCTGAAATAAAACTGGTGCTTACTGAAGCATTAAGTATATATTTTGAACAGGATACTCATGTTGTAAATGGGACCTTACAAAGAAAAATAATACTAGAGACAAAGACCAAAAAAAAAAAAGCAGTGGGATTGGATTAAGTAGATACAGGTTGTCTCAAAAGTTTCAGTGCAGTTTTCTGTTTCTAAAAGCTTAAAACTGCACTAAGACTTTTGAATCATATGGAGAAGATTCATGCATGTCATGAGGAGGAGTCAACATCCAAAGTATCCAAAGGAGATGAAGATACCAAAAGGGTGAGGGGAAATAGATCTGATAGAAATAGAAAAGAAAGTCAACAATGGAAAGGACATCAACAGCTAATTTCCCATGTATATAAAACTTTCATGCCAAAGATAGAGCTGTTATGGTGCAATAATCGAGAGCTCCTGACTTAGTAAGTCTTGATCTGATCCCACCTCTAATGCTAGCTGTGTGATTCTGGGCAAATCATATGACATCTTTGAGTCTCAGTTTCCTTAGCTGTAAAATGAGAGGGTTAAGTTAGATAGCCTTGAAGGGTCCCTCCCAGCTCTAAATCCTAGGATCCTGTGATCTCTGGAATGGACTAATAATCCTTTAAATGACACAGACCTTTCACCACACATTCCTGTAAAATCATGTCATTCTGGGTTCCTCAGCCTTGTCCCGAGGTTTGGGGTCATGAAGAGTCAACACAACTGAACAACAGCAGCAGATATTAATTGAACCATTACCGAGTTCTACTTGACAAGAATAATAATAATAGCAATAATACTATCTAGCATTTATATAACACGTTGAGGTTTGCAAAGCATTTTACAAATATCTCATTTTATGCCCTCAATAACCCAGGAAGTTAGATGCTATTGTCCCATTTTATAGTTGAAGAAACTAAGGTAGGCAGATGTTAAGTGACTTGTTCAGTGTTAGCTAGCTACTAAGTGACTGAGGATGGATTTGAACTCTAATATTCCTGAGGGTTACCCAATGCACTATCTAGCTGACACACTCCTAAACTCATCCTTCCTTACAAAGTAATAAAAATATAGCAGAGATGAGGCAGTGTGTTCTCATGCAATGGAGTTAGAAGCCTAACATGTTCTCGCCCTTGCCTCTAACGCTCAGGAGTTGTGACTGTGGGCAAATCATAGGATCATAGATTTAGAGCTTAAAGGAATCTTTCAGGTCATCCAGTCTAAGCCCCTCATTTTACAATTGAGGCCCAGAGTGATCCACAGCTGCAAAAACAGGATTCATACCCCAAAGCACTGCTTCTAAATCCAGAGCTCTGTCCATTGCACCACACTGCCTGTCTACTTCATCTGTCAACCTCAGACTCTCCCTCTGCAAAATGTTGATAAAAATACCTATGTCAAGTATAGGGTTACTGTGAAGAACAAATGAGATTTTTACAAACCTAAAAGCTATATAAATGAGAGATGTATGTAGACATAGATAAAGATAGAGATATACACAAATTCAGCTTAGACATAAAGGGCTGAAAAGAGGAAGTTTAAGTGGTTTCTAAGATAATTTCCTGATCTAATATTCTGAGATTCTGTAGTATCCTAATGTGCTAAGAATGCTACTTTTTTTATTGTAAAAGAAAAAGAAAAGTCACTCTTTTCCTAGGACTCAAAGCTTTATTACAGCTTGTGGCAACACACAGATTTGAGTATTTATGCCAAGGAGTGTCAGGGCTACTAAAGACCCAAATCTAAGTAAGAGCAACTGTTTTGTGATAAAGAAAAAGAGAGAGAGAGAGAGAGAGAGAGAGAGAGAGAGAGAGAGAGAGAGAGAGAGAGAGAGAGAGAGAGAGAGAGAGAGAGAGAGAGAGAGAGAAGGAAAGGGAGAAAGAAAGGAAGGAAGGAAGGAAGAAAGAAAGAAAGAAAGAAAGAAAGAAAGAAAGAAAGAAAGAAAGAAAGAAAGAAGGAAAGAAAGAAAGAAAGAAAGAAAGAAAGAAAAGAGGGAAGGAAGGAGAGAAAGAAAGAGAGAAAGAAGGAAAGGGAGAAAGAGAGAAAGGAAGGAAGGAAGAGAGAAAGAAAGAAAGAAAGAAAGAAAGAAAGAGGGAAGGAAGGAGAGAAAGAAAGAGAGAAAGAAGGAAAGGGAGAAAGAGAGAAAGGAAGGAAGGAAGAGAGAAAGAAAGAAAGAAAGAAAGAAAGAAAGAAAGAAAGAAAGAAAGACAAGAGGGAAGGAAAGGGAGAAAGAAAGAAAGAAAGACAAGAGGGAAGGAAGGAGAGAAAGAAAGAGAGAAAGAAGGAAAGGGAGAAAGAGAGAAAGGAAGGAAGGAAGAGAGAAAGAAAGAAAGAAAGAAAGAAAGAAAGAAAGAAAGACAAGAGGGAAGGAAAGGGAGAAAGAAAGAAAGAAAGACAAGAGGGAAGGAAGGAGAGAAAGAAAGAGAGAAAGAAGGAAAGGGAGAAAGAGAGAAAGGAAGGAAGGAAGAGAGAAAGAAAGAAAGAAAGACAAGAGGGAAGGAAGGAGAGAAAGAAAGAGAGAAAGAAGGAAAGGGAGAAAGAAAGAAAGAAAGAAAGAAAGAAAGAAAGAAAGAAAGAAAGAGAGAAAGAAAGAAAGAAAGGCAAGAGGGAAGGAAGGAGAGAAAGAAAGAGAGAAAGAAGGAAAGGGAGAAAGGAAGGTAGGAAGGAAGGAAGGAAGGAAGGAAGAGAGAGAGAAAAAGAAAGAAAGAAAGAGAGAAAGAGAGAGAGAAACAGAAAGAAAGAAAAGAAAGAAAGAAAGAAAGAAAGAAAGAAAAAAGAAAAGAAAGAAGAAAGAAAGAAAGAAAGAAAGAAAGAAAGAAAGAAAGAAAGAAAGAAAGAAAGAAACCTCAAAGGTAAATCAGGGGATATCATATTACAATTCCCTTGCCCACTTCCTCTGTCCTCAGGCCCCCCCTCCCCCACCAAAATCTTTCAGATTGAACAGGACAAAGTTTGATCTCTTCCATGTTGAGAGTTTGGAACAAAAGCAGCTTTCTGCTTGAGCTGAACTTCAAAAGGCTGCTGAGTGACTGCTCTAAGTAATACTTTGTTGTAGATCTCAGAGGAAATTCACAGATGTCCTTCTGTAACTGTGTGCAGTTCCAAGGACCTTTTAACCGAGCAGAGAGGTGTTACTGTATTAACCAGACCGATGTCTTGCATTGGGAGCAATACTAGGGAGACCCACGAAGACTAACCGAGGTGCCAGATGTAGTTAAGTTCAGGACCCATTTTTCTTCAATGAGGTTACCTTATGGGCCAATAAATGTAAAATTCGGTTAGGTGCCCGAGTTGTTTCTAGACTAGGATTTTTATTTTTATTTTTTTAAGTAGAAGGGAGTTAATCTCTGGTTTGACAGAAGCCAATGATACTTATGGAATTACTCCAAATGAAAGCAGGGAAACTCGGGAAGTGGGTGGTTGACCCGGGCACCAGGTAGTGACCCAGGTGCCACATATGGAGGAACCAATTTAGAAACCGGATTGGGGCAGACCGGCTCACGGCCGCCCACGGAGAGTGCTCCCCTCCCGGTTTTACAACTCGCTTCTTCTTCCCGCAGGTTGCCTTTGTTCCCTTTCTCCGTCCGCCTGCCTGGAAGAAACTGCGGAAAAACTGACTGCGGAAACTTCCCTGGTCCGGAAATCTGCCCTTGGCTGCCGCCGCGCTAGAGAGCTTCTGCTGGGCTGTGGCCGCTTCGCTCGGCTGCGCACCAGGCTGCGTCTCCTCGGGTGCTGCAGCGGCTCCGGGCCAGCCGGCAGGGCTTCCAAACTGCCCCTCACCAACCCCCGGTTCAAGTTGTCTCGGCATTCAGGTAATGCCTACTCCGGGGTGGAAGACCCACGTGGCATTCTTGCTTCCACTTGGTGGAGAGGGAGGAGGGAGAAAATGAAGTACAGTCCTTTCCCCCTTGTTAAATCCGTGACCCAAAGGCTAAGTGGTGAAGCTGACTTCCCACCTTTTCTACTCCTCCCTCGCCACCCTCCACACCGACTCCCCTTTTTTTCTGCCTAGGCTCCATGCACTTGTTTGTGAGCTCGGCGCGCAGCCCTCATGGGTTTGCTCCCCTTCGGGCTTCTGCAAGCTTGCAGTGCGTTTGGTCTTTTCATGTCTCTTTATATTATGGCGGAGCAGCCACACACTTTTCATGAGAGCAGTGCTTTGTGTAAAAGCATTGGCATTTGGCCTTGATACCTGTATCTCTTGATGATTGCAACAAATTTCTAAAATAAATATTGTACTTTGATCTCCTGCCCATTGCATTTTTAATGGAACACCACTTCCTTAAGAATACATTTCAGGAGGCCCGGAGGGCTAACCGTGCTAATTATCGGTGAAGAAAATGTTCTCAAACTTCTCCATAAGTCAGAGAGATCTGGAACCAGGGCGATTGTCCCCATTGGGTGACAAGAGAAGCTAACCGGGCAGGTGCACCTCTATCCAACTTGATGCCCAAGTACTCTTTGACCCCAGTATCTTTTTTTCCCCCGGGCCAGGAGGAGCGAGGAGAATGCTTTCGCACAACACCGGATTCCTATTCTTAAGTGGGGACCTATGTAGAAAACTCTCTGTCGTAGTAATAACAAACTTTGGAATGGGGGCAGGGGTTCCTTTATGTCTTTTTACTTTCTTAAAAACAAAAACGGAAATCCTTTTAAATATATATAGGGTGTGGTCTATCTAAATGGACTCGCCCATAGCTTCCAAGCTTTCTCGATACCTGGGCTTTTGCCAGCCTGGTGACCAGGAGCTGAGTGTCTAGTAGAAGAAGGGACTGGGATGAGGGGTAGAGGCCGGATGGGTGGCAGAAGGTGAAACTAGAATCGGACCTAGGGGGAAAAAAAATTGAAAGGGAAAAAAAACTTTTTGAAGTTTCGAAACTTGTGCAGAGCGAAACAGGGTTGATTTGTGGAGTGCCAGATATACACGTCTGGGTGTCCTGAAGGGGAAGGTTTTCGTTAATCAGCAGGAGATGAGATGTGGGCTGTGAATCCTTGCTGCAAACGCCACTCTTCCGCCCCTCCTGCTGAGCCGGACTCCAGCCCCACCTCCGGGCTAAGACTTAGCGAGCCGAGAAAGGGGGTGGTCTTCAACCCCCCCTCCTCTAAACTACTGCCTTCTAGGTTGCACTTCAGTGTCCAGTGGAGCTGGACGATTTGAGGCGGCAAGGGTATACGGGGGGGGGGGAAGGGGGCGAGAGGAGGCTCCAAAGAGTGGCTCGGGACGTGCTCCCTGAGATTCCTCCCACGCTGCTTATGGGCAGGATAATCCCGCATTTTCTATAAATTATTCACATTTCACAACTCTCCGAGCTAAGGAAGGAAGCTCACCGATTCGAAGCTGTCGGTGGAGCTGGTGGGTCGCCAGAACAGAGGAAGAGGGAATGTAATCTGATATCCTAAATTGGATGGGGTGATGGTGAGGAATCGGAAGGGATCCCAACATAAATCCCAGATTCTGAATATTCCAATGGGTCTCCTCCTTCCCTTCACCTTAATATTCATCCAGGACAGATCTGTGAACTACTTCCAACCACCTCCAGGTCCAACTAACCCGTGCTAGGAAGCACCTAAATTGTACATATTATGTATAGTAAATCCATCACATCTACTTAATCGATGTCGGTTGGATACCCCTTTTACCCTTGCTCCAGGATTCTGGTTAAACAGTCGGAATAGGGAGGAGTGAGGAGAGAGACCGCCAGGGTATGAGCCACATGCCCGGGGTGGGGCAGAACATCTAGGGGCCCTAGCAGGGCGGCCAGCTCTCCCCAGGCCTTGGTCCAGAGCCGTGGGAGAGGACTCCACTTTCCTAATCCCTTCAAAAGGCTCCGAGCTAATACAGGCCCTAGTCATCCTGGGAAGTCTTTGAGGGGACAGAGATTGTTACTGTGGGGAGGTCAGATAAAGAAATCTGTGGGCCAAGACAGGAGGAGCACAATCTAACCTCTGCTACTGACTGCTGGGTCGTATTACCTGCTGAGTAACAGTTGCAAAAATGTAAACTCTGGGCAGCGGTGGGAAGCTCCTAGTCCCCCTGTGGAGTCTTTTTTTTTCTTCCTCTTCTTTCTTTTTTTCCTTCTTTTTTCTTATTCCTGGGGCATTACTGAAACAGCTTTCAAGACCTGCCTCTCTACCCAACCTCCACCCTGACTAGCATTCAATTATACTGATTTTCCACTCTGATCTTAAGTAAAAACTAAATATATTGTAGTCCATACCACCTAGAGAAGGAAGAAGGACTACTGAGCAGGGATCAGATCACCTGGGGAAAAGGAAGTTCAGAGAGCAGGAGACAAGAGTATAAGTCTAGAGGAGGGGGAGGCAGGGCCTCAGCAGGGTGTCTAGGCCATGCTCTTAACCTGTCAACGCCTTAACCCCTTAGCCCTTTAATTACTAAGCAAGGATGGAAAAAGTGAAGGAGGGAGTTCCTCTGTCTTTTGAGAGAAGGGTAAGAGGAAGAACATAATGGAGGACAGTAGAACTCTTCACAGTTGACCCCCTGGAAGATGTTATTTTCTCTTCCAAATGTGACCAGGGATCTAAGTTGGTGTGGCACAACGTGGTTGTTGGGGTGAGCTCTGTTACTTTGTTTTGTTCTTTTTCCCTTATGGGGGTTCACTTTGTGTGTTGAGAGATTTGTGAGCATTACTGTTTATGTTTTTGTTGTTTAGTATCTTTATCACTTCTCAAGCAAAAACTTAAGGCTGAGACCATGATTTTCAATAGTTCCTTTCAGTCTGCTTTGGTTCATCCCACATCTAGATTCAGATTGTGTAAAAAAAAAAGTCCATCTCCATCCATTTATGACAACAATCAACCTTCAGAATAAATAATCACTAGCTGTGTTTTTAATGGCCTTCCAAGTTTCTATCGGAAAAGAACACAACCCTTGGATGGACTTTCTTTTCTCTCTGGTTTTGGCGTTGTGTTATTTTGGGTGTTCTTTAATTTTGAAGTAGTATTGCTGGTGCAGGTTTGCTTTTAAGCATTTCATCAGCTCCCTAAAAGAAAAAGTTCAGATAATTACTAAAGAAGCCTTACTAACTGACCCAGCATTTCAGCCCAGCTACGCATTCAAACTGCCAGCAGCCACCAAAAGATAGAGAAGCAACATGTTGTTTACAGTCTCTGCCCTCAACTTTCAGGAAAAACGAAGTCTGGGGAAATTTTACCATTATTTTGTGAGTTAGAAATGGACCTCTATGGGCCATCGCTCAGGTGAAATTTTAAGTTGGCGTGGGGGGGGGGGGTATGTGCGCGCGCGCTTGTGTTACTCCCAGCCGCCAAACAAAAACTCCTGGAATCCGGAGGCAGATTTCTCTGGAGATAACAAAGACACATTGTCACTTTAGGCTCAGCCTCTGCTACAAATCCTTAATTGCAAGTAAAGAGGGGAAAAAAAGGCGAAAGGGGATCTAGTGTCTCTAGCAGCCCCAGTGAGGGTCTCCAGGCGGTGAGGCCCCCTTTGATCAGGAAAATCCAATTATTTGTGTATATACATTTCCCACATAGTGATTACTTCATTAATTGTCCCGCCTTTATCTCCTCCCTACCCATCCCCCCTAATAATCAGTTCTTTTATCCAGACCAACAAACACACCATAGGAGCTTTGTGGATTCAAAGGATTTGCTTTCGCTTCTGAAAGAGCCGCTATTCTTTGATGATTGGGTAGCGGCAAACTTCAAAGCCATAAATCTTCCCTCTGACTGGCTGGCGGCCCAGCAAAGTCCTTATCAAATTCTTGGAGGTGATCCTAGAGCACTCAGACAGTCCGCGGAGAGCGCGGGGCACGGGGCGGCCAGGCAAGGCAAGGCAAGGCGTGGGGCGGGGAAGGGGGGCAGGACAGCCGGAAAGCGGGGGAGCGCACCCCTGGGGGGGGCAGAGGCGAGCAGAGAGGGGCCAGACACACAGGCGAACGAGCCGACCGGGCAAAGAAGCTGGGCTGCTCTTCGTCTTCGCCTCGGAGCCTCCATGCCTCTGCACTGCCCTGCTGCCCTCCCGTCGCGCCAGGAGTGGTAGCCATGGCCGCTGTGGCGGTCCTGCGGAACGACTCCCTGCAGGCTTTCCTCCAGGTCAGTGCCCGGGGGGCCTCTGGAGGGGATGGGTGTTGAAGGATAAGGAGCCCGCTGGAAGGAAGATAAGCGAAGTGTTTGTTCTTGTATCTTCCTATCGCCTCGGAGTGCTCGGAAGTTTCTAGTCTGCATCTACTTCAAGACAAGCTCAGGAGGAGAGAAATAGATACTTATGTCCAAGGAAAGTCAGGCCTGAAACTTTCACTACCTCTCTTTCCTCTGCCAATATCCCCTCCAGTCCTAACTTTACGCATTATTGGCAGCCAGGTGACTAGGAGTTTGATACTTGGGGCTATAGGGAGTTGGCTGGCCGAAGTGTGTCGGTGGGTGTTTCCGGCTGGAGTGAAGGAGGAAGGAGGGTGGCGTGGAGAGAGCCTTTACAAAGCGAAAGGTCTGAGGCTTACCGGGTAGGAGCTTCCTGCTGGGGGAAGCGAAGGGAGAACCCTCTGGGAATGAGGAGGAAGAGAAGGAAAAAGAAGGAAAGAAAGAGGAAGAGGAGAAAAGGGGGGGAAGAGGAGAGAGGAGAATGGAAGCAAAGCAGGTCACTACCGCAGTCGATGTTTATAGATACTTTTCAGATTGCATTGTCTGAAGTGAGCTTATGTTTACTAGAAGGCAGCCGTTGGTATTCATCTCGCCTCTCACTTTGTGCCAACTTTTTTTTTTGCCCTCCTCCAAATCAAAAGGATTAATTATGCCTGTTTCCACTAAGTTTTTTTTTCTTCAAATGGGGAACGATGTGCGTTTTGTTCCTTTTTGGCTCATGCATCAAAAACTTCCCCAGCACTGGCTGCAAGAAGTGTGTGCCGGGCGAGTTCTGTGACTGGGGCGGTGGCGGGTTGGTGTGAATTGAAGGGGGTGAGGGGTGGCAGTATAACAACTGGGTGTAGGTGTGGTGAACGGGGCTCGGGATCCTGTGGATGGAGCGGTAATCATTTGTTTCTTCTCCTCCCCAACACGTCCCCACCCCACGACCTCATCACCTCTTCCTATGCAGGACCGTACCCCAAGCGCTTCTCCGGAGTTGGTCAAACACTCGCCGCTGGCGCTCCTGGCGGCCACCTGTAGCCGAATCGGACAGCCGGGTGCGGCCGCCCCTCCGGACTTCCTACAGGTCTCCTACGACCCGACTCTGGGCTCACCCTCCAGGATTTTCCACCCGTGGACTACCGACATGCCAGCCCACTCTCCAGGAGGCCTACCTCCTCCCCACCCCAGCCTGGGGTTGACGCCTCAGAAGAACCACCTGCAGCCCTCTTTCGGGGCGGCCCACGAACTTCCCCTCACCCCACCGGCAGACCCCTCCTATCCTTACGAATTTTCACCGGTCAAGATGCTACCCTCCTCCATGGCAGCCCTGCCGGCCAGCTGTCCCCCAGCCTACGTGCCCTACGCCGCCCAGGCCGCCCTGCCACCTGGCTACTCCAATCTGCTGCCCCCGCCGCCGCCTCCGCCACCGCCGCCGCCTCCCCCACCGCCGCCACCTCCCCCGCCGCCCTGCCGCCAGCTCTCCCCTAACCCTGTCCCGGAGGACATTCCGTGGTGGAGCATCCCGCAGGCCGGGGCCGGGGCAGGAGGCCCAGGCGTGCCCGGGGGCGGCGTCCCAGGGGGCTGCAGCGGGGGCCACCCGGGTCACCACGCCCCGCGCTTCCCCGCAGCGGCTACTGCTGCGGCCGCGGCAGCCGCCGCCTTGCAGCGCAGCCTGGTGCTGGGCCACTCGGACTTCGCCCAGTACCAGAGCCAGATCGCCGCCCTGCTACAGACCAAGTCCCCCCTGGCGGCCACGGCCAGGAGGTGCCGCCGCTGCCGCTGCCCCAATTGCCAGGCAGCGGGTGGAGCCCCTGAGGCGGAGCCCGGCAAAAAGAAGCAACACGTCTGCCACGTCCCCGGCTGCGGCAAGGTGTACGGCAAGACGTCGCACCTGAAGGCGCACCTGCGCTGGCACACGGGCGAGCGGCCCTTCGTCTGCAACTGGCTCTTCTGTGGCAAGAGCTTTACGCGCTCCGACGAGCTGCAGCGGCACCTGCGGACTCACACGGGCGAGAAGCGCTTCGCCTGCCCGGAGTGCGGCAAGCGGTTCATGAGGAGCGACCACCTGGCCAAGCATGTGAAGACGCACCAGAACAAGAAACTCAAGGCTGGAGAGGCCGGGGTCAAGCGGGAGGACACCCGGGATCTCTGAACGTCCCCACCACCACAATCCCTGATTCAGGCCACTGCGCCCTCCCCGCCATTGTCCCGGGACCTCAGGCCCAGGGAGCCGCTTGCACCGCGGGGAAGCTTTGGATTTGTTCAGCACTGGGGCCTTAGGACAGACTGAGGATTTGCCCCCAGCCCAAGCTTCTCGCCCCATTCCTGGCAAATTCGGCGCTTTCCCGGGAAGCTTTCAGTTGTTTTCCTGGCAGTTCTCAGAGGTCTGAGAGGTCAAAAGTAGTTGGTTTAAGGGGGGGTGATGGAGCGTGGTGGGAGGGGAGGAGGTGGAGCAATAGGATTCCGAAGCCCTAGACTGGAGGTTGCCCGTCGAGTCTCTGTCATTCCTCAAGAGGAAAGACCCTAAGACCTCCAGGGGAGTGCAAGGGTCAGGCCTTTATGCTCCAAGGCTTTCCTGACCATCTAAGTAGTTTAAAAAGCAGCTCAAGTCCTAAACAATTTGGAGGCTTCTAAATGCTATGGCTTTTGCTGGGACAGGAATGAGCTTTTGTGTACAGGTTATTTAATAGCTTTGTTAAATAATTATTATTATTATAATAAAGTGTTTTCTTGTCTTTGGCTCCATGCAGGGGCTCCAGCATGAAATGTTTCTGCGACTGCAGTGTGAAAATAAATACATTAACAAGGGGTCACCTGGGGAAGATCCCACTGAGTCAGTCTCATGTGATCATTTCTATCTTCGAATGACTTAACAAAAAGCTTAGGTTTCTTCAAGTATTGGTGTGGTTTTTTTCCCCATTAGACAGTGTCTTGTATTTAGCTTGGTTTGGGTAACAGGTTTGAACCTGAAGGCTATTCAGCCTGACGTGGGCTGAGGGTGGGAGTGGGAGGTCTAAGGGAGACAAACCTAAGTGTATCAAACAATTTTTAGCAAACTTAGGGGAGGGGCTGAAATTTCCTAATTGTACTTTTATTTACTGACACCTCTGGCAGTGTAGTCCTACTGTATTAACTAAAATATTTAGGATTAGAACAGGGAAATTCCCTTTTGAGTTTTATTTGTTTGTTGCCTGCTGGAAAGTGCTGACAAATCTATCATTTCCTACCCTGTCAAGCAGACTAATCTGCTGATTGCATACAGTAGATTATTGGGAAGTAGACTGGGACATCTTGGAGAACAACACTTTTGTGCAGGCTCACCTCACCTAGTTATTAAACATAAGGACAGAGCTTCACAGAAGGTTTTGGACCTAACTTGTTCTCCAAGATTGACTGAATTGCAATATCACTTTACCTTGATGTTCAGCCTTGTAATTAAATGTATCCTTTCTAGTAAGAAAATTAAAAATTGTTTCACTAAGGATAGTAGCTGTATATGGACAATCCATGTAGGGAAGAAAATCCAGGCCCCTTTAATATCTTTGGGTTGTACTTCTTAAAAGATTCAAATAGTCCAGTGTTTCCCCATTAGAAAATGTGAAGTATGGTCATATCTTGGAAAAGTTAGACCCACATGTAATTTTTCCTAAACTTTTGGAAAGGCATTCCTGTTTCTATACACTAGTGTCTTTCCACTATTGACTGCCTAATTAGAGATGTTTTCCTTTTCTAATTGGAGTGGCTGCAGTATCTAGAAAGGTTAGAAACTTTTGAGTCCATAATTATTAAAGGACTACTTTTTAATTTTTGTTAAAATGTTGAAATTAAGCTAGTGTTATAAATACCAATTTACTCTATTAGTAATGTAAAATAAATACATTTGTTTCTGAAATTTTATGCTGCTAGAAATCACACTGGTGAAGCAACTTAGTGTAAAATGCTAAATGAGCAGTGGTGAGGTGGTTTCTTTTTTAATTCCTTTCAAACATGTAGAAATAACTCCTGGAACCATTCCTATAATGACAATACAATTTAATCTGAAAAGCTGAAACTGTTTACCTTATTTAAGCTACATTGAAGGGCAAGTGTTGGTTTCCTAAACAAAAACAACAGAAGAAACTCCTAGTCATAGAAATTGAAATCTGAACCATTTGAAGGTAAGTTAAGATTCTCTAAATCAATTCCATGAAGAAATATAATAATAAAATATAGGGGGAAATGCACTGAAAAATCAGAGACAAAGAAGATTTTTATCACAGAAATGCAAAACCTCCCTTAACCTATCAGTTGAAAAATATCCTGAAATATGAAGAAGAAATGAACAGTAAATGTCATGTAGGGTATTTAAGGCCACAGTGGTAGAAAGAGCCAATTTCAACTTTGACAGGAAAGGCTCTTAGCTATCATTTGAAAAACTTTAAGACAATACCAAAGATTAAAGTTTTTTGGAAGAGTTTTCATAAATAGGTATTTAATACTAAAAACAAGATAAAACTTATACCTTAAAAGTATATTGGAAAGCAAAACATGTATTTGATGATAGGATAACTTTTTTAATGGCTTTATTTCACTGAACCACAAAATTTAAGAAAGAAGTAGGATGATCTAGTATAGCTGAAAAAGAGTTGGTACTTTTTTAATTGAACCACTTGCAAATCTGTGTTGTAGTAAGTTTAAAGAAAAATGTGTTTATACCTGAGCCAACTGGAGACAAAAAAATGTGTTTCTGTTTTTCCAAAGCCTGGAAAGTTTTTTTTGGTGCATTCATAATGAAAAACAAGCTAATAAATGTCTCAAAATAGTACCTATTATTCAATGCAGAAATGATTTAGATTTTATAGAATATTCAGCTCTTACTTTTTTATGTGTTGTTTCCTTAATAAAAATTGTTAAGAGTACCATCAAATTAAGGCATCAATATGCAAGGATAAGTAATGAAATCAGGTATAATTATGGTTAAATAGTATCTATCAGAAAAAAAATAATGAAATTAAAAAAAGTTTTTAAATCAACTTGCTGTTGAATTCAAATCGAAAAGCAATAAATTTTTTTTCTTAATTGCCTAAAAAAAAAGCCATAGTTTAATCCAAGTACCTTTATAGTAGTTCCTGTCAATAGTGCAACAAAACAATTATTCAATTCAATCCCACCACCCAAAAAAGGGAAGTAGGCAGTTATTTAGAATCCTCAAATAACTTTGACTTGAAACCACAGGCAAGCTACTTTGAAGTCTCAGTTTCTTCACCTGTAAAAGGGAGATAATAGCACTTACCTCATAGGGTTGTTGGGAGAATGAAATGAGGTATGGTGAATATATGGCCCTTTGCAAACCTGAACACACTATTTCAATGTCAGCTTTTATCTTTTGATATGTGACCATGACACAAGAAAATTCAAATTTGCTGGTTGCAAAATGCAGCTGCAGCTTGAAAACTGTCTCACCTAGACAACTTATCTCTATGACCTTCATAATAAGGGGTTGTATAATACTAAACTTGGTAGCAATCTTTCATTTTCCATTTTTTAAAAAGAAAATATGCAGCTACTACTATAGTCAACCAGAAACATTATTAATACTTTTCAAGAAAGTGCTTCATTGTGTGCTATCTCCCTTATTAGCACAGTTATGTTGTATTTCATCCAAGATCAGCTCAGCTAAAGTTCTAATCTCATGACCATATACATCACACAGCTTACAATGCTTGGTATAGAATGATAATCTGAAACAATGACATTTGTAAGAGGCAATAGCTATTCCCCAAAGTTTCTCTATGTTACTCAGTGAACACTAATAATATTTAGTAGATAATCAGTTTTGAATGGTGGCTTCAGTGTTTTCTCCCTAGTTTGCCCCTGTAATAACAGGCTCACAGCATACATATCGGTAACTGTGACTACAAATTGCTGTAAACCAATACCAGGTAAATAATGATACGGGGTTTTTATAGACATTAAAATGTTATGGTGTATAAATATTCCAAGGTATCCAAGCACAGGTCTGATTACATAAAGACCACAGAATTAGACCCAATCTCTAAATCTTTGATAATAATTTTAATTACAGTCACCTATGGCTTCAAATTTAAGATAGTTGAAAACAAGGCATTTTCTGTTAAATGTAATTCCCTTTCTGCATGGCTTGCATGAGAAAAATGTAGCTTCTAAACAAGGGGGCCAAGTTTTTTAAGGAAGTAGAACTGCTTGGTTTTTCAATGAGATAAATACTGAAGTGGGGAGAGAGGAAAAATAGGGGAGAAAAGGATAGTAAAAGCAGATGGGCTTTTGTTTGTCAGAATTTTGCAAACCAGATGCCATAATCTTTCATTCTCTTCTGTGTTATATCCTCCCAAATAAGAGTTTATTGAAACTGTATCACTTTTTTTCCCTCTCATTTTCCTTTCCTCTAGGCTTGCTTTGAGACTACTCCATGCAACTGAAGGCTTTTGTCCCATGATTCATCTCTTGCTGATAGTTTTATTCACATTTTCCTCCTTATCAAAAGGAAAGTGCTACTTTAATATTATTAGAAAACTGATAGGTGATAGGCTTCATGCAAGAAAATTTTCATTTACCAGTGGTTGGACTGGTAATTTGTCCCTTGGACATTTAGTCTAAGTAAACATCAATGGGAAAAGGTGGCCCTCCAGTATGCTCACTGATTTTTGCTCCAGTGTGCTTCTCCAGTTTGCTATTTGTTCATCATCTTTTCAGTGCATTAGATAGGATCTCTGTTCTGGTCCCAGTGTTCTCTAAGGACCTTCTGGCCTTAATGGTTATATTTAAAAGAACACCATGTGAAGTGAAACTGGAATACATGTTAGGTTATGTAGACATCTGATACAGGTAAATTCAAGATCTAATATAGATTGGATGATGACTTGGTTTGGCTATTTATATTGGTTAAATTAACCTAAGAGTTCCCAAAGCTCTACTTTGAGTTATTCAGACTTAATGAATATACTCTGGTCTTCTGTAGAGCTATTTGCTGTCCCCTCCCTTCTTGATTAATATGTAATTAAACTGAATAAGAAACATCACCAGGGACAGCAACTTTTCTCATTATTTCATTTGCTGGCATCCTACAACAAATAGCTAAACTAGTGTCTTTGAATGAGAAATGTTATTTGCAGAACAGAGATTTAATGACACTGTTCTAGACCTTAGAACCTTTTCAGAGACTACACTTTACACTAAATTTTTATCATCGCTCCCATATTGCTAATTGAAGATTTTCAGGTGCTGATTGCTTATGTCATAGACTCTGTTAGAACAAAACAGGCAGTGTTAACATACTTTTTTTCATGCTGACATGTTGATTGCTTCACTTATTAGACATTATGAATATTTCCTCTTCAGTGTCTTTAATGATTATGCTGAAACATAATCCCCAATGGTGCATTTCACACTTGAGCATAATCATGAGAGACATAATTCAGTCCACACATATGAATTACAGTGGTTTCCACACACACACAAAAAAATAGCATGCATTAACTAATACATGAGACCAAAAGAATCAGTCACCATGGTAGAGAAGAAAAATCAAGCCAGTTGTTTGACATCATTTGATAGACAAATAAGTTGGTTGATTGAATTTTTCACTTTTCAGTGAGTCTTCTAGTCATTGTGAAGTTCAAAACTTTATTGAAAAAGTAAAGCCCATATTATACTTAAATTTCACTTTTAAAGCATTTAGATGTAATCATTGTGTGTGTCCACATCTCAATTTTAACATACAAAGCATGTTGAAAAATTCTAATCTAAATTATGCCAAATACTAAGATAAAAACTTTAAAATGCAGTCATATGATTATTTCATTTTTTTAAAATAAT